ATTGAAAATTAGAGTTTTCCATTGCCTTAATAAAGAATAGGGTTACCTCATCTTCCATTGCAAGGAAGCTTGTTTGTATCTATTTGGAAATCCTTGGCTCTTGGCATTTTGTGTATTTGCAGTTTATAAATGTTAATCCTGGTGGATCCCAGGGACTGGTGAAGGCTCAGAGACTGGGATATATGTTTTGTAAGAAGTGAAAACCGGGACATTCGCATTGCTATAAAGCCAACATTTGAAGAACTTTGAACTGCAATCTGACAATCTTGGCATAGTAACTTACAATTTTGAAAGGCAGATAACCATGCTAGAATGTTGATGTTTTCAGCACACTTTGCCATATATATGTTTTCCATTTAATCTGTACTAATAGAAAACAAAAATAATGTTGATGAAAAATAATTTGAGCAGCTTAGCCAAGGATAATAAAATGTCTTGAATGTAACATTTTCTAAGACTGCAACTGAAGAACGGGCTTTGACAGGAGCCAAACTCTTGCAGAAGATCTCAGAACATTTGGGCTTCATCATATATATATAAATATATATATATGAAAAATCATCATTTTAATATAGATTATTCTAGTGAAAATATGATTACTAATTTTAAAAACTTGAAATGAAACTTTTTTTTTTGACAGGCAGAGTGGACAGTGAGAGACAGAGAGAAAGGTCTTCCTTTTCCGTTGGTTCACTCCCCATTGGCTGCTGCGGTCAGTGCGCTGATCTGAAGCCAGGAGCCAGGTGCTTCCTCCTGGTCTCCCATGCGGGTGCAGGGCCCAAGCACTTGGGCCATCCTCCACTGCCCTCCCCGGCCACAGCAGAGAGCTGGACCGGAAGAGGAGCAACTGGGACAGAATCCGACGCCCGGACCGGGACTAGAACCCGGGGTGCTGGCGCCGCAGGCAGAGGATTAGCCTAGTGAGCCATGGCGCTGGCCATGAAACAACTTTTTTAAAAAGTTTTTTATATTGATTTGAATGACAGAGTTACAGTGAGAGGTAGAAACAGAGAGAGAGTCTTCCATCTACTGGTGCACTCCCCTAATGGCTGCAATGACCTGGGCTGGGCCAGGCTGAAGCCAGGAGACAGGAGCTTCTTCTGGGTCTCCCACTTGGGCCATCCTCTGCTGCTTTCCCAGGCACATTCGCGGGGAGCTGGATAGAAAGTGGAGCAGCCCAGACTCGAACCAGAGCCCATGTGGGACACCGGTACTGCAGGGCAGGGCTTTAACTCACTGAGCCACAGTGCTGGCTACAACAACTTTTAAAAATATTATACTTAACAGGCTCTTCATATTCAAAAAACAATGGGTAACAAACCAACATTTTTATAACATTCAAATATGTTCTATGCAAATATTAATCCCAATATATAAAAAAACGGAGAAAAGACGCTTTTTTTCTTTTTTGAAAGATTTATTTATTTATTTGAAAAGCAGAGTTGCTGAGAGTGAGAGAGAAACAGAGAGAGAGAGAGAGAGAGAGATCTTCCATCTGCCGGTTCACTTCCCAAATGTCCACAATGGCCAGGACTGGACCAAGCGAAGACTAGAGCCAAGAACTTCATCTGAATCTTCCATATGTGTGCAGGAGTCCAAATATTTGGGCCATCTTCCTTTGCTTCCCCAGAGACATTAGCAGGAATATGGGGATCTGGATTGGAAGTGGAGTGGATCTGTCGGGACTTGAACCAGTGCTCATATGGCTCCATCATATATATGTGTGTGTGTGTGTGTGTGTGTGTGTGTAATAACAGATGCTCATATCCATCCCCTATGCCACGCCAGTCTCAGAAGATTCTTAACTTCAGAAACACTTGGTACAAGACTATGATTTTCTTTTCCACATTTCTGTTTAAGGAAATATTATTACATTAAGCTAAATTATTTAATAACATGTTACAGATAAGTTGTTCTCATAATTGTAAATATTACACTAACAATATTTTCTTTTTTTAAGATTTATTTATTTGAAAGTCAGAGTTACAGTGAGAGAAGGGGAGGCAGAGAGAGACAGAGGTCTTCCATCTGCTGGTTCACTCCCCAATTGGCCGCAATGGCTGGAGCTGCGCTGATCTGAAGCCAGGAGTCAGGAGCTTCCTCTGGGTCTTCTGATGTGGGTGTAGGGGCCCAAGCGCTTGGGCCATCTTCCATTGCCTTCCCAGGCCACAGTAGAGCGCTGGATCAAAAGTGGAGCAGCCGGGACTTGAACCGTCACCCATGTGGGATGCCAGCACTGCAGGCAGCGGCCTTACCCAGTACGCCACAGCACTGACCCCAACTAACAATATTTTTTAAATTATTTTTAAGGATGACATCAACTCATCTTTTGTAATTTTTTATTACTTAAGAAACGTTACTATATCTCTGAAGAGACTCCAAAATTGTATTACCTTGAGAATTAAGACATAAGGATCCTCAATTCCCTTCCCAACTCTGTCATCAAAAATTATGGGATGGGGGCTGGTGCTGTGGTGTAGTAGGTAAAGCCTCTGCCTGCTGTGCTGGCATCCCAAATGGGCACTCATTCAAGTCCCAGCTGCTCCCATTCTTCTATCTGCTATGGCCTGGGAAAGCAGTAGAAGATGGTCCAAGTCCTTGGGCCCCTGTACCCATGTAGGAGACCCGGAAGAAGCTCCTGGCTCCTGGTTTTGGATCGGCACAGCTCTGGCCATTGTGGCCATCTGGGGAGTAAACCAGCAGATGGTAGACCTCTCTCTCTCTCTCTCTCTCTGTGGCTCTGCCTCTCTGTAACTCTGCCTTTCAAATAAATAAATAAATATTTTAAAAGAAAATTATGGGACATGGGTTAATGGGCAAAATCTACACTTATATGTATGGTACATTATGTGCCTGATAAACCTCCAACAGTAGATGATGGAATTATTTCCAGTGGAGAAAATGATTTATGCTTACCTTCATTGTACTTTGTGATAGGCAAGTTAATTTTAAATCTTGTAAATCATTCTAAACCACAGTGTTCTGACTTTAAAGTGAAGCTAAGGCCGATTCTGAATCTTAACTTTAGAAAAATACATCTCTTCCAGAAAAACCTTCCTCCCACCCTTGAACTTTAGATCAAATAAGGAGAAGAGGTGTCTTCCTTCTGCTGGGTTTCTGCTTCCTGTCTAGATGCTTGTGTCACTGGAGAAACAGTAATTGCATTCTGTGTATCTGCAAAAAGTCCACTGTACCAAGATGGTGCTTCCATAAGACTTCGAAGGTTTCTGTAAGGGAATTCCTCTAAATCTGCTATTTATTACAGATAGCTAAATACATATATTTCAGATCACACTGGAAAGCAGCCTTTTGTCTATCGTGCAAAACTGATCCAACATTCTAGTTTAGGAGTCTCCTCTAGCACTTTTTTTATGGGTGATAATTCAGCCTATGTTCCAACTCTTCCAATGAGGAAGTCATTATTTCTTAGAGAATTTGAAGCATCAAAAATATTTCCATATATTTAGTTGAAATATGCCATTCTATAACTTTTAGTCTTTTGTTCTTTTTCTCCCCCTTTGAAGGAACACAGCATATGAGGAATATATCCATCGCATCTTCCTTGTAGTACTGCATTTAACACATGTACAGATACCATGTGCTCTTAAGTCTGCTCAGGGCTGAACTTTGTCAGTTGTCTCAAGCACTCATGTGGTACAGATGCCCCTCCACTTTCAATGGGGTTATATCTCAGTCAGCCCATTATAAAGTTGAAAATACAGTGAAGTCAAAACTGCACCAAATCATCTAATCTACTGAACATTGTGGCTTTGCTGCACAGTACACTGTAGAGTGTTGGATGTTTGCCTTCATGACTTCTGGCCTGGCTGGGAGCTGTGGCTTGTTGTCATAGTATCATAGGAAAGTATCATCATACCGGATATTACTAGCCCAAGAAAATATTAGAATTCAAAGTTCAAGGTATGGTTTCTATCCAATGTGCATTGCTTTCGCATCAGCATAAAGTAAAAAAAATGTAAGTCAAAGCATCCTAAATTGGGGACCGTCTGTATTTTGTTAAGTCTTCATCATCCTGGTAGTCATTAGATGTTCTGAATGTCTTTTTTTTAAAGATTTATTTATGAGGGCTGGCACTGTGGCGTAGCAGATAAAGCCGCCGCCTGCAGCATCAGCATCCCATATGGGTGCTGGTTCAAATCCTGGCTGCTTCCCTTCCGATGCAACTCTCTGCATGGCCTGGGAAAGCAGTAGAAGATGGTCTTGGGCCCTTCACCCGCATGGGAGACTTAAAAGAATCTCCTGGCTCCTGGCTTTCGGACTGGTGCAGCTCTGGCCATTGCAGCCAACTGGGTAGTAAACCAGTGGATGGAAAACCTCTCTCTCTCTCTGCCTCTCCTCTCTCTGTGTAACTCTGACTTTCAAGTAAATAAATAAATCTTTAAAATAAATAAATAAATACTAGGCATTTTGGAAAAAAAGCTTTATTTATGTATTTGAAAGAGTTATGGGGGATGGAGGGAGAGAGAGAGAGAGTAAGAGAGAGAGAGGGAGAGAGAGAGAGAGGTCTTCCATCTGCTGATATACTTTCCAGATAGCCACAATGGCCAGACAGAAGCCAGGAGCCAGGGGCTTCATCCGAGCCTCCCATGTGGGTGGTAGGGACCCAAGCATTTGGGCCATCTGCTGCTGCTTTTCCCAGACCATTAGCAAGGAGCTGGATAGGAAATGGGGAAGCCGGGACTGGAAATAGCACATCCACATTGCAGGCAGTGGCTTTACCCACGTGCTACAACACTGACCCTGTTGTGAGTGTGTTTGTGCTGTCTTTCAAAGAATGTAACTTACATTTCATACAACATCCTAAGCCGGTGTAAGTCTAGAACTAGACTGATACCATAAATGATAGGGAGATTTTATTCAATTGATGCAGCCAAAAAGCACATAACATTTGTAAGCAATCACGTCATACTCTAGCCTCATACTGAGGTTGTAGTTCACTGACTAGTTACCTATTGCTGCAGAACAAATCACACCAAAAGTTAACAGCTGAATACAATAACAAACATTTATTATCTCACACAACTCTGACTCAGGAATTCGGGACTGGCCCGGCTGAGTGATTCTGGTTCAGTGTTTCATTTGAAATTGTGGTTAAATCTCAGCTAGGGCTACAGTCCTCTGAAAGCTTGTCTGTGACTGAAGGTCTGCTTCTAAGATGACTTAAACTCACATGGTGGTTACATTCTTCCTACCTCAGGTCATCACAGGGACTTCTCTATAGGACTGCTTGTGTGTCCTCATGACATGGTGTGACAACTGGCCTCCTCCAGAGTGATGCAAGAGACAACAAGGCTCAAGCCACAATATCTTGTATATACCAGCCTTGGAAATCATATATCATCCATTCCATCATATACAGCTGGGTGCTCAGGTTAGCTCTATCTAGTGTGGAAGGCCACTGAACAGAGGCATGAGTACCAGGAGGCAGGGATTATATGGAAAATATCTAGGAGGCTGGTTCTTGAGTCCATGCTATAGCCTCCAGTGACTAACCTCCCTCCTTCATGCAAAGTATTGTATTTCTCAGGGCCACCGAAAGTCTTACAACATCGCCTCAAAGTCAAGAATCTTGCCGTGCCACCTAGATCCAGATGTAGATGAGGCATTTTGAGTTCTTCAAGTACAAGTCCTTGAGTAAATTCCTTGATCTGAAGACCTGTGAACAAAAGAGATAAGGTAGATGCCCTCCTACACACACACACACATACACACACACACATCCAACATACTGTGGTGGGACAGAAATAGGGTGGGACTGTTCAAAGTGTAGAAAAACATGGAACCTATAGAAGTCCTTGGTCTATAGCCACTCTGAAATCCAGCTAAGCAAACATTGGAAGTGCTTCACTTCTACTCATTCCTGCTGCTCCCTAGGGATGACTTTCTATGACTCTTGCCTCTGATCTTTTGCCTTTTGGTTCTGTCCTCTGCATCAACTCCTTTTTCCATGCAAAGTAGCCAAGGTTTCCAGTGGTGTATTTTTCCTTTTTTTTTTTTAAGATTTATTTATTTACTTGAAAGAGTTATACAGAGAAAAAAGGAGAGGCAGAGAGAGAGAGAGACAGAGAGAGAGGTCTGCCATCCACTGGTTCACGCCCCCAGAGGGCCACAATGGCCGAAGCTGTGTCGATCTGAAGCCAGGAGCCTGGAACTTCTTCCAGGTCTCCCACGTGGGTGCAGGGACACAAGGACTTAGACCATCTTCTACTGCTTTCAGAGGCCATAGTAGAGAGCTGAATTGGAAATGGAGGAGCCGGGACTTGAACTGGTGCCCATATGGGATGCCAGCACTGCAGGCAGTGGCTTTACCCACAATACCACAGTGCTGACCCCATGGTGCATTTTTCTAAGTCTGGTTTCCGCCTCTAGAGATTTGGAGGTCCAAAAGCTGCTTTTCCTTTTGTTCTACCTCTGTTCCTCTCAGTCCCACATACTAGTATTTCTGACAATAAAATATACTTTTTTACGGCCAGTGCCGTGGGTCACTAGGCTAATCCTCTGCCTGCGGCGCCGCACACTGGGTTCTAGTCCTGGTCCGGGCGCCGGATTTTGTCCCAGTTGCCCCTCTTCCAGTCCAGCTCTCTGCTGTGGCCAGGGAGTGCAGTGGAGGATGGCCCAAGTGCTTGGGCCCTGCACCCCATGGGAGACCAGGAGAAGCACCTGGCTCCTGGCTTTGGATCAGCATGGTGCGCCAGCCACAGTGGCCATTGTGGGGTGAACCAATGGAAAAGGAAGACCTTTCTCTCTGTCTCTCTCTCTCACTGTCCACTCTGCCTGTCAAAAAATTACTTTTTAAAAAATGTGTTTATTTAATTGAGAGGTAGAGTTATTGGCAGAGAAGAAGAGATAGAGAGAAAAGTCTTCCATCCACTGGTTCACTCCCCAAATGGCCACAACGGCGAGGGCTGGGCCAGTCTGAAGCAAGGATCCAGGAGCTTCTTCTACGGCTTCCAGGAGGGTGCAGGGGCCCAAGGACCCGGGCCATCTTCCACTGCCCTCCCAGGCCGTTAGTAGAGAGCTGGATTGGAAGAGGACCAGCTGGGACACAAACTGACAACCATATGGGATGCTAGTGCTGCAAGCGGAGACTTAGCCTACTATGCCACAGCGCCAGCCCCTAAATACACTTTAAAACCTTTTGAGTCTTCTGTGAACTCATCTTGTTATACAGAAGCCACACTCACACATGTGTTTGAGGTAAACACTTCTCTTTAGAGATATCTGCTTGGATCTCTGCAGCACAGTACCGCTAAGATTTCTCAAAGTCCTGATGTCTGTCTCTCTGAGATACAACATTAGAGCTTTCCAAGGTCATAGCTAAAGATCTGACAACTATATATTCAGTTTCATATGTACAGCCTGCCTATCTGGCAGTCTCAGGGTTTGATCTTGGCCTGAGCCAATTCTTGATTTCATCATTGCTTCTTGTCTCAAGGGACAGGTAATTTTAAGGCCAAGTCTTGGCCTCTCTTGGTTTAAGAATCCTTCCTTGGGGGCCGGCATTGTGGTATAGTGGGTAGGGCCACCACCTGCAGAGCCATCATCTCATATGGGCACCTGTTCGAGTCCCGGCTCCATGTAACTCTGCTATGGCCTGGGAAAGCAGTGGAGGATGGCCCAATTCTTTGGGCCCCTGCACACATGTGGGAGACCTGGAAGAAGCTTCTTGCTCCTGGCTTCAGATCAGTGCAGCTCTGGCCTTTGCGGCCAATTGGGGAGTGAACCAGCAGATGGAAGACCTCTCTCTCTCTCTGCCTTTCCTTCTCCCTCTACCTAACTCTGACTTTCAAATAAATAAATTAATAATAAAAAAGAATCCTTCATTTAGCTTATGTTTCCTACCTTCCCATGTTTTACTATAAAAGGAAGCAGCAGCAGCTCTGTGCCTTCCAAACTCTACCTGGAAATCCCTTATCTAAGTCATCCATTTTTATCAGGCACTGTTTCCAGTTCCACCCAACTTCAGGTGACAGTGTTGCACAACTTTGTGCCACTGTGTGAAAACGAGGCTACTGTATTTCAGCTGTGCGCATGTCCTCCAACTCCAAGAACATTTACATCTTGGCGTGGCCTCCTCAAAGGCCACAAGGCTTATTAGCAGCAATCTGTTAAGACATTTTCAACTTTCACAAACCTTCTCTCCAATGTACTTTCTTTTTCTTTTTTGTTAAATTATTAGTTAATTTATCTGAAAGGTAGAGTTACAGAGAGGCAGAGACAGAGGCAGAACCATCCACTGGTTCACTCCCCGGATGGCTGCAATGGCCAGAACTGGGCTGATTCGAAGCCAGGAGCCAGGAGCTTCTTCTGGGTCTCCCATGTGGGTGCAGGGGCCCACACACTTCGGCCATCTTCTACTGCTTTCCCAGGCCATAGCAGAGAGCTGGATCGGAAGTGGAAAAGCCAGGACTAGAACCAGAGCCTATATAGGAAACTGGTGTTGCAGGTAGTCACTTAACCCGACGTTATCACAATGCCCACCCATGGATTTGTTAAAAGGACAGCAAATTACCTCCAGATCTATTCGTTTCCTATTAACATGTAGCAAATTACTGCAAAACGTGGTGCCTCAAAATGAACATGAGCATTTATTATCTCAATTTCTGAGTCAGGAGTTTGGAAGCAACTCAGCTCCGTGGTACTCCGTGGTTCACAGTCTTTCATGAAGTTGGATTCAAGAGACTGGTTGAGGTTGTAGCCACATAAAAGTCTGACAATTGCTGGAGGTTCTGGGGCCAAGACACTCCATCCCATGGCTGTTAAGTTCGTGCTGGTTCTTGGCGTGCAGATCCCATTCTGTGCCGCATGCACCTCTTCACAGGGCTGCCTGAGTGACCCCATAACAGGGCAGGCAGCTGCTTCCTTCGAGAGTAAGCCAAAAGAAAGCAAGAGGGCACTTGCTGCCTTTCCTCTCTTAGCCTTGGAAGCTGCACATCAGCATTTCCACAACATCCTGTTGGCTGCATAGGAAAACCTTATTCACTGTGGGAAGGGATGGCAAGCGAATGTGAATTTTTAGAGCCTGAAGTCACTGGGACCATTATGGAGGCTGATTATTATGTCTACTATAACCTCTGGTAATTTTAATTTGTAGGACTTTCTATTAAGCTAGCTTCATCCCTTTGGGTATTTATTGATATTTTAAAAAATAAAACCTAAAACTAACCCAACGAAAGAGCATTTGGTACAGTGGTTAAGAATTACTGAGACCCCTGAATCCCGTATCAGAGTGCCTGGGTTCAAGTCTTGGCTCTGCTTCCAGTTCCAGCTACTTGCAAATGCACATCCCAGGTGGCAGTAAAGGATGACTCAAGTAGTTGGGTTCCTACCACCCACTTCGGAGACCTGGATTGAGTTCCTGGCCCCTGGCCTTAGCCTGGCCCAGTTTCCACTGTTGTGGGCATCTGGGGAATGACAAAGCAGATGGGATGCACATCTCTGTCTGGATCTCTCTCTCTCTCTCTCTTTGCATTTCAAATAAATAAAGTTTTTAAAAAATTATAAAATGTATTCTTATCTATAATTAAATCCAAATTTTAGTTTCAGTTCTGTGTTCCATTCAGATCTTTTTAAGTTTTAGTTTTTTTTTCCCCTCTTCAGTTTTGAAATTTCTATTCATATGTCTTCAAATTCAAAGACTCTTTTTTAAAAAAATGTTGGGGCCTTCACTGTGGTATAGCAGGTAAAGCCACTGCTGGCATCCCATATGGGTGCTGGTTCGAGTTCCGGGCACTCCATTTCCTATCCAGCTCTCTGCTATGGCCTGGGAAAGCAGTAGAAGATGGCTCAAGTCCTTGGGCCCCTGCACCCATGTGGGATCAGTGCAGCTCTGGCCTTTGTGGCCAATTGGGGAGTGAACCAGCAGATAGAAGACCTCTCTCTCTCTGACTCTCCTTCTCTCTCTGTGTAACTCTGACCTTCAAGTAAATGAACAAATCTTTTAAAAAATGTTTATTTATTCATTGTGGAGTAGCAGGTTAAACCACCACCCGTAATGCTGGCATCCCATATGGGCATTGGTTCCAGTTTTGGCTGCTCTATGTCCTATCTGGCTCCCTCCTAATGCACTTGAGAAAGCATTGGAGAATGGCCGAATTGCTTGGGCCCCTGCACCCATGTGGGAAATCCAGAAGCAGCTTCTTGTTCCTGACTTCACCTTGGCCCAGCCCTGGCCATTGTGGCCATTTGGGGAGTGAAGTAGCAGATGGAAGATTTCTCTCTGTGTCTCATCCTCTCTCTAACTCTGCCATTCAAATAAATAAATAATACAAATTTTATTTATTCTTTCACATCTTATTTGAAAGGCAGAGTGCCAGAGAGAGAGGAGTCTCTTCCATTCACTGGTTCATTCCCCAAATACCTCCAACTAGCTGCAATACAACACCACCCCTTGAATTTTAATTTTTCATATTGATAACACTCCTGATCTTTGAATTATTGATAAGAATGCTAAGTTTTGGGCTTTACAAAATCCAATTTATTGATATGAATGTTGATAAACATTTGTTTATGTACTTGTGTACTTCTCTATGTACCTTATATACTTATGTACCTTATGTACTTTCTATGTACCTTACCTATGTACTTCTCTGTGTACCTATATACTTATGTACGTTATGTACTTCCAAGTTGGTAAATACATATATCCTCATATGC